AATCAAATACAATTTTATATTCATTATGTATTTAACGGTGAAAATAATCAAATACGATAATTTATTTATTATGTATTTATTAATGAAAGTAATCAAATACTATTTTATATTCATTATGTATTTAACGGTGAAAATAATCAAATACGATTATTTATTTATTATGTATTTATTAATGAAAATAATCAAATACTATTTTATATTCATTATGTATTTAACGGTGAAAATAATCAAATACGATTATTTATTATGTATTTAACAATGATATTATCACGGAAGAGTGTTTCATCTTTTGTTTTATGTGCTGCATTTAAAAATCGCCTATACAACTTTAAAACAGGGTATTTGACAAACGTGATTAAATAAATTACTTGTAAGTGATTTATTTTATTTTAAAAAACTCTTCTGTTGATTCTTCTACATTTGTTTTTCAGATTGGAGGCTGGCACTCTAGCTATGGGATTAACATTACACTTAATGCTACATCTGAATACAATTCTCTTCTTCTTCAGAACAAAAGTTTGATTGTTACGACAGTCATCGTAAGTTCAGTATAACATGATACATTTTGTCGTATTTAATCAATACCATCATCGTAAGTTCAGTATAACATGATACATTTTGTCGTATTTAATCAATACCATCATCGTAAGTTCAGTATAACATGATACATTTTGTCGTATTTAATCATTACCATCATCGTAAGTTCAGTATAACATGATACATTTTGTCGTATTGGATCATAATAATCATCGTAAGTTCAGTATAACATGATACATTTTGTCGTATTTAATCATTACCATCATCGTAAGTTCAGTATAACATGATACATTATTTCGTATTTAATCGCTGCATTCATCGTACGTTCTACATAACATGATACATTATGTTATTTCATTGTTATTTCGGTATAATATGATATATTATGTCGTATTTAATCAATACACTCATCGTAAGTTCAATAAAACACGATACATCATGTTATACTTAATAACTACATTCATTGTAAGTTCAGCATAACATGATACATTATGTCGTATTTAATCATTACCATCATCATAAGTTCAGTATAACATGTTCCATTATTTCATACTTAATCGCTGCATTCATCGTACGTTTTACATAACATGATACATTATGTTATTTCATTGTTAGTTCAGCACAACATGATATATCATATCGTATTAAATCTCTAAATTCATCGTAAGTTCAGTATAACATGATACATTATGTCGTATTTGATCACTAAATTCATCGTTAGTTCAGGATAATTTGAAACATCTTGTCCTATTGGATCACTAAATTCATCGTAAGTTCAGTATAACATGATACATCTTGTCCTATTGGATCACTAAATTCATCGTTAGTTCAGGATAATATGATACATCATGGCCTATTGGATCACTATTTTTATTGTAAGTTCAGTATAACATGATACATCATGTCCTATTGGATCACTAAATTCACCGTTAGTTCAGTATAACATGATACATCTTGTCCTATTGGATCACTAAATTCATCGTTAGTTCAGGATAATATGATACATCATGGCCTATTGGATCACTATTTTTATTGTAAGTTCAGTATAACATGAAACATCTTGTCCTATTGGATCACTATTTATATTGTAAGTTCAGTATAACATGATACATCATGTCCTATTGGATCACTATTTTTATTGTAAGTTCAGTATAACATGATACATCATGTCCTATTGGATCACTAAATTCATTGTAAGCACTCGACTCGTAATCTGCGTGTCGTGGGTTCATATTCTGTCACCGAATGTGCTTGCTCTTTCAGCCGTGAGGACGTTTTAACGTTACGGTGAATCCCACTATTAGTTGGTAAAAGAATAACCGAAGAGTTGACGGTGGGTGGTGTTGACTGTCTACCCTCTTGTCTTTCACTTGAAAATTAGAGACGTCTAGCGGAAATAGCCCTCGTGAAGATTTGACCGAAATTCAACAAACAAACAAATAGTACATTACATATGAGGTTCACTTATTGTAACATATTAAATATAGTTTTGGTTGTTACAACAAGCTGAACAGTTGTTGTTGTTTGTGTTTTGTTTTTATGGCAAGGCTAATAATGCTATTTAATACCTTCAATAATTATTAACTTCCGTTTATAAGGAAGGCAACACCACTAACTGCCAACTTTTGGGCTACTCTTTACAAATGAATTGTAGGACCGACTTTCACGTTATAACGTCCCTACGGCTGAAAGAGTTAGCATGTTGGGTGTCAGGTTTCGATCCAACAACCAGTAGACAAAATGGCGAGCGTCCTAATCATCAGGTCTAGAACTAAGTCAAAAAATAATGGATAAAATCATTGATGTTCGATAAAAAATAAGCATGAAACACCAGTAATAATTAATGAAATTAATTACAATATTTACGGTATTTTTATTTATTTTTATATGTGATTCGTGTGTTGTTAGAGATATAGTAATCAACAAAGTCATAAACCCACAAGCAACCTGTAACATACATATATCATCAGTCTGTGTTATATTAAAAATGTATCTTAATTTAAGTAAATTAAAGTTGCGTTGTACACAGAAATTATAGATACACTTTGCATTAAACAACACTTTTGGGACAATGTAGCTCTAAATAATCGTAAAATTTAAACAACGTAGCTTTAAATATAAGGCTAAATGAAATCAATTGATGCCAAGCAATCTAAATGAATTAAACGTATTCCAAGCAAGCTAAACGAATTAAACATATTCCAAGCAATATAAATGAATTAAACCTATTTCAAGCAATCTAAATGAATTAAACGTATTCCAGGCAAGCTAAATGAATTAAACGTATTCCAAGCAATCTAAATGAATTAAACGTATTCCAAGCAATCTAAATGAATTAAACGTATTCCAAGCAATCTAAATGAATTAAACCTATTCCAAGCAAGCTAAATGAATTAAACGTATTCCAAGCAATTTAAATGAATTAAACCTATTTCAAGCAATCTAGATGAATTAAACCTATTCCAAGCAAGCTAAATGAATTAAACGTATTCCAAGCAAGCTAAATATATTCCTCGTTTAGTTCTTGTTCCATATTAGTACTCATTTTATTGCCCATCTCACTAGAACCCACCCTACACCATGTTGAAAGATTCAGCGCAGTTATTATCAGGAAACGACCGTTACGAAGGTTACTGTGTGGACCTTATCTTTGAGCTTTCCAGGCAGTTAGGCTTCAAGTACCGGTTTAAACTGGTTGAAGACAACGCCTATGGTATCAAGAACGACAAAGGAGAATGGAATGGGATGATCGGCGAACTAATTAGAGGAGTATGATTTTTTTTTAAATTATACACTTTAATGAATAATACAAAACAGTATAAGATAACTTAATCTGCTTTCAGATAGTTTGTCTCAAATTGTCTAAACCACAAATCTATTGAATTATCTAAACCACAAATCTATTGAATTATCTAAACCAGAAATCTATTGAATTGTTTTAACCAAAAATATGTTGAATTGTTTAAACCGCAAATCTATTGAATTGTTTAAACCACAAATTTATTGAATTGTTTAAACCACAAATATATTGAATTGTTTAAACCACAAACCTATTAAATTGTTTAAACTACAAATCTATTGAATTGTTTAAACCACAAATCTATTGAATTGTTTAAACCACAAATCTATTGAATTGTTTAAACCACAAATCTATTGAATTGTTTAAACCGCAAATCCATTG